CCTCCACCTGGGAGATTTACCACTAGGCCAACACAACCTTGGTAATAACAACTAATTTTTGAGCGAAATGAACGTTTTTTTTTTGTTCGAAGAAAACTTGTATCATAACATTAGCGTTGTACGAATCACATACATATATAGGAGAAAGAGAGAAAAATATTTGTTGCTATTTCATCTCAATAATTTTTTCTTTTATGAAAAGCTAAATAAGTTTATGAAAAGTATAGGTAAAAACAATTGCATTATTCACTACTCTTATCTTCTTTTGTCAAATAAAGGAATCAAATGCCAAAAACAAATAACAGAAAGACAAAAGAAGCAGTGCAACCTCTATACTATTGAACTATTGTTTTGAAACTCCTATCCAAATGACTGCTTGTAAATGTTGTTGCCAACCACTCAAAATCAGCTTTAACCACTCAAACAAAACATTTTTTTCAATCACTCATATTAAACGTTTTATCTACCGCTTTGTTGATTGGTAGCCACTTGAACATCTCGTTTCCAAAAGAGGGGTTCAGTTGCTTCTAATTAGAACTAGGCATGACCAAAAGATAACCGTAATCGTATTTCGGACCGTTTTTCAACCGTAACTAGATAAACGGTTAAAAATCATAACCGTTAATCGTAAAAATAGATTAGTTACAGTTACAAAATATACTAACCGTAACCGTTAAATAACCGTAAACGTATCAAAACAGTTAGTTAACTGTACGGTTAACCGCGCTATTAACCGCACTATTAACCGCATAGACTTTAAAAATATAATTGTAACTGCATATAATGCAAAAACAAATATCGAATGTTCAGATAAAGATTTTCAAAAAAATAAATGATACCGCGTATGAAAAAATCTACGTTAGAAAAATAGGTTTTTTCTCAAACAAATATGTTGTAATACTATATTGCTTGAAATGAAGAAAATATGGTTTATAACATATTTTTTCATCTTATTAAAAAATAGTATAAAAAGTTAGGTAATTCGTAAGATTTCGCCTCTCATATTAACCATATTGTAATCATCAACTAACTGTAAACGTATTCAACTGTAACCATTGTAACCGTAACCGTAACCGTATTTAACTGTAATCGTTTTAATCGTATATATAGTTGTTAAGATTAAATTTAAAAGAAATTTATAACCGTAAGCGGTAGTTAATCAATCGTAATAACCATAACCGTAAGCGGTAGTTAATCATGTCTAATCAGAACCAGAAACGAGTCATAAACACATTTTTCTTCCTTCCTAAGCTCAATAAGGGCCTAGTTAATGTAGGCCCAATTGTTTTTATTTTCTTTTTGTGCCCTTTTTGCTAATTACTCCTTTTACATTTATTTTCTTTCGTTTTCCTTTACTTCTCCAAAACTCGATTTCCCGATTTTGTCGCCTCGCCTCGCCGTGATTCTGTTTCGCCGCCGTATCTCTCCGTTTTCCGGTACATCCTGAACCATTTTCCGTTTTAATCCAACCTGTATTGGTTTCTAATCGAGATTACTTCCTTCGCGTAATCTCAATTAGGGTTAATTGCTTCGAATTGCTTGATCTCAGATTAACTTACTTGAAACTAGGGCATAATCTCATTACTAATGTAGCACAAAGCTACAATCAATTTGTTATTCGGAATTTAGCAGAATCCTAATTGTGAAGTTAGGGTAATATAGAACCTGGAACTGTAAATTTAGTCACAAAGTGATAAGAGACAGTGAATTGATTTAAGATTTAAGATTTGAGTATTTCGATTTCGATATTTTCTTGACGTTCTTGCTCGTGTTTGCGTGCAATGATGCTTAAGATTTGTTTGTTTTTTTCCATCTTGTGGTTTTCTGAAGTAAAGCTTTTTGGTTTGTGTTGTAATCCAAATTTTCTTCTGTTGATGTTAAACAGTGACCGTTTTTTAGTGAACCGATGATTTACACTGCAATCGACAATTTCTACTTAACCGACGAGCAGCTGAAGGCTTCACCTTCGAGAAAAGATGGGATAGATGAAACGACTGAAATCTCTCTTAGAATCTATGGATGTGATCTTATCCAAGAGGGTGGAATATTGCTCAAACTGTATCCTTTCATTGGTCTAATTATTTTGTGAAACTCAAATGTCGCATAGCTGTGATTTTCTTAACCTATATTGTTGTCTTCAGACCACAGGCGGTTATGGCTACTGGGCAGGTTCTGTTTCACCGATTCTATTGCAAGAAGTCTTTGGCTAAATTTGATGTAAAGGTATCTATTTTGTTTCTTTCTTCTTTAGTAGCGATATATACTCCTGCCTCTTACCATAATGATTTGATTTGTAGTTTAATTTTTACAGATAGTGGCTGCGAGCTGTGTATGGCTTGCATCAAAACTGGAAGAAAACCCTAAAAAAGCTAGACAGGTCATCATCGTATTCCACAGGATGGAGTGTCGCAGGGAGAACTTACCATTAGAACATCTCGATATGTATGCCAAGGTTAGTTTGCAATTGCATTTGTCATATTGAATGTTTTTTCGTATATTTCGTTTCTACTCATGGGAATAGCTTTATTTGGATGTGTTATTATGGGATCTCATCCTTTTTCCTACTTGTTAAATTTCTGCAGAAGTTCTCTGAGTTGAAAGTTGAATTAAGCAGAACTGAGAGACATATACTGAAAGAGATGGGTTTTGTTTGTCATGTTGAACATCCTCACAAGTTCATATCAAACTACCTTGCCACACTAGAAACACCTCCAGAATTGAGGCAAGAAGCTTGGAATTTGGCCAATGATAGGTAATCTCTATTATCAAATCTTTCTATGGATATTTTTTCATATGATTACTTGACAGTTAGCTACACATCACAGTGTTGATAGGTTTTAGAGCTGACATTTCTCCTCAAGCTCGGCATTTCTCCTGTATCTTGACATATACACTTATTTTGATTTTTAGTATGTTAGTCATACGTTCTCGATATCCGATAATTCCGTTATGATTTTATTTTAATCTCATGGTATGTCTATAAATGCAGTCTGCGTACAACCCTCTGTGTAAGGTTCAGAAGTGAGGTTGTGGCTTGTGGGGTTGTGTATGCTGCTGCCCGTAGGTTTCAAGTACCTCTTCCAGAAAATCCACCCTGGTGGAAAGCATTTGATGCAGATAAATCTAGTATTGACGAAGTGTGTAGAGTTCTTGCTCACTTATACAGTCTTCCAAAGGCTCAGTATATCTCTGTTTGCAAGGATGGGAAGCCATTTACCTTTTCCAGCAGATCTGGGAATTCTCAAGCTCAATCAGCTACAAAGGTGAGATAGATCGCTATCTAGGTTTTGTGATTTTTTTGATCGCATGAGATTTCCATATCACTGCTTTTTTAGTCTCTAGGTTTGAAGTGCTTCTATCACTGTGTTACAGGATGTGTTACCGGGAGTAGGGGAGGCTGTTGATACAAAGTGTGCTCCAGGATCAGCTAATAACGACTCGAAGGATGGAATGGTTATTTCGCCTCACGAAAAGGCTACAGATTCAAAGAAGAGCGATACTGAGTCAAACAGCCAGCCAATAGTAGGAGACTCGAGGAACGGAAAAAGTAAAGTTGGAGAGAGAGAAAGAGAGAGTGGTAGAGAGAAGGAACGAGGTAGAGAGAGGGACAGGGCTAGGTCTCACAGAGGCAGAGATTCTGACAAGGAGAGTGATAGGGAGAGAGACAAACTCAAAGATCGGAGTCATCACCGGTCAAGAGATAGATTGAAGGATTCAGATGGACATTCAGATAAATCAAGACATCACTCTTCTCGGGACCGTGACTATCGAGAATCCTCCCACTCATCAAAAGACCGTCGTAGGCACCATTAAGCCAATCTTCTTGTCACTACATCACCTTGAGTCTACTTGATGTTAAGACAGTATAGTGTTGTATTATGTTAAAGAGTCAAAAACCCATGTGTACTCCATCACATGCTAAGATCACGTTGGTTCGACATATAAGATCTAAAAAGTCTGATCTGTTTCTAATTTGGAATTTTATCAAAAAGCCATAAACTTTGGAATAGTAGTAATTGTGGTTTTTTGACTTTTGGACTTGTATGAGTTGTTGTGACCCAGCTGAGAAGAGAATAGTATCCATATCTGACTTGTGGGCACATGATTGAAGGCTTAAAGCACGTTCACAAACATTGTTTATATCTTTAGATACTTGTCTATTAGCTCCACCTATAAATATCGCATATTCTTATACCGATATCGAACCATGTACTAGATCTTCTAGCTAAACACATACATTATTAATGGTTTATAAAATTAGGAAAAAGATTAATGATGATCAAGGCCAGCACGTAGTCTTGTTGCCGGCTACATAAATAATCAAAACAAATAGCTGATACGCATCTAACGGATACATTTTCATCGTTGAACCGTCGATTTTATCTCCTTCGAGAGAGAGTTTCACCATTCCTAACATTCTGATAAATCTTTCATTCGACCATACTCTGCTTTCAAGATTTTCATCAAGTTTATCAATTTGTGTCTTCACTTCTATCATCACACTATCTTATTTTCTAGACTCCTTTGTCATGGCAGTTGACCATACATCAATTTCACTTCTATTGTTCAGGTAAAAATACTTTTTGTTTGTCTTCTCAGGATTTTGATGTGTTGATCCTAATTTTAGGACTGATGTTCATACATTACTTCTTGTTCTTGATATGGGTTCTTGAATAGTCCATTTGATCATTTCTTTTGTCAGTCAACGAATCCAATCTATAAATGATTCAAGGGTAAGTTTTTTCTTTTTTTTTCTTCATTTCAGATACAAAAATTTAAAGGAAGACATTAAATTCTTAGAGATTTTTAGTGTATTTTTTTACAAGACTTGATTGTACTAAATTCATTCAGATTTTAGCATCAAAGTGATTTTTAGGGTCTTTATTAATCACAGTTGTCTTTCTTTGTTTTTAAATAATTACAGAACAGAAGACATGTTTGAACACTAAATGTTATTCGAAGAGACAAAAACAAGCCGGAAAAAAGTCAACGAGAAATGTCAGAGTAAGACATAGAATAATGCAAGAGACAGTGTTCCTCTTCACGGAAGAGAATCTGAACAAAGAGCCATCGTCAGGGGTTAAATACAAACAAAGCTCCCGGCGCGTGGTTCCCATGACAAGTTGCGAGGTGAGTGATGCGGCTGCCGAGATTAGAATAGTAGAGAAGGTGCTAAAGAACGGCGACCTTTATAACGGAGGCTTATCCGCGGGTGTTCCGCATGGGACAGGGAAGTATCTGTGGTCGGATGGTTGTATGTACGAAGGGGAGTGGACACGTGGCAAAGCGAGCGGTAAAGGACGCTTTTCTTGGCCGTCCGGAGCGACCTATGAGGGTCAGTTCAAGGACGGTCGAATGGACGGCGAAGGGACGTTCATTGGAATCGACGGGGATACTTATAGAGGGCATTGGCTGTGGGGAAGAAAGCATGGCTACGGAGAGAAGCGGTATGCAAACGGTGACGTTTACCAAGGAAACTGGAAGGCCAATCTGCAAGATGGTAATGGACGTTATGTGTGGAGCGATGGGAATGAGTATGTGGGAGAGTGGAAGAACGGTGTTATCTCCGGGAAAGGGGCAATGACGTGGGCTAACCGAAACCGTTATGATGGGCTATGGGAAAATGGAGCCCCGGTTGGGAAAGGGGTGTTGAGTTGGGGTGAGGAGAAGACTAGTTATAACGGGTGGGGGAGGAAGTGCAAGAAGAAAGATGATGAGATTGTGCAGCACCATAAGCTCTCTTCCGTTGAAACTTTGTCAACGAATACTAATTTCCCGAGAATTTGTATATCGGAACTGGAGGATAGTGGCGTGTGTGATCACGTAGAGGCAAGTCCGTACACGAGCGAGTCAGATACGAGTGGATGTGGAGAGCAAGAGTGGGCAAGAAGCCCTTTGCTTTTGGAGAGTGGTGGTGCCATGAGTTTGCAACAAAGTCCGAAGTGGTTGGATGAAGGAGATGTTAAGAAACCGGGGCATACGGTTACGGCTGGACATAAGAACTATGATTTGATGTTAAATCTACAACTTGGGATTAGGCACTCTGTTGGGAAACATGCTTCCCTTATGAGGGAACTTAGGCACTGTGATTTTGATCCCAAGGATAAGCAATGGACCAGGTTTCCCCCAGAAGGCTCTAAGTCTACGCCACCCCATCTATCTGCCGAGTTCAAATGGAAGGACTATTGCCCAATTGTGTTTAGGTAAGTAAATACTCTAAAAGTTTGGAGTTACAAACTATTTGTTAATTCCTAATTGCACATTTTTGTGTGGTGAAACAGGCATCTAAGAGATTTATTCGCGATAGACCAAGCGGACTACATGCTCGCTATTTGCGGAAATGAATCACTTAGGGAATTTTCTTCACCTGGAAAGAGTGGAAGCTCCTTTTACTTGACTCAAGATGAACGCTTCATGATCAAAACCATGAAAAAATCCGAAATTAAGGTAATTTATATATTCTTTTGCGTTCACATTGCTTTCGATATATAACAATAGAGTTTGAGATTTTTTAAACCGTTCTTAGGTATTGCTTAAGATGCTCCCAAATTATTACGAGCATGTTTCTAAGTACAAGAACTCTTTAGTCACCAAGTTCTTCGGGGTGCATTGTGTCAAACCGGTAGGAGGCCAAAAGGTATGAGAAATGGTCTTCCATTACAAATTTATGTTCAAAAATCAAATCAAAACTTATTTCTTGTTATATTTGTGACCAAAAACAAACAGACTCGGTTCATAGTGATGGGAAATCTGTTTTGTTCGGAATATCGTATACACAAACGGTTTGACTTGAAAGGTTCATCACACGGCCGTACCATTGACAAGGATGAAGGTGAAATCGACGAGACCACAACACTTAAAGACTTGGATCTCAAGTATGTATTTCGACTCGAGACCTCATGGTTTCAAGCCTTCATTAACCAAATCGATATCGATTGTGAGTTTCTTGAAGCTGAGAGGATTATGGACTATAGTCTATTGATTGGTCTTCATTTCCGTGAATCTGGCTTGCGTGACGACATTTCCTTGGGCATCGGTAACAATCATTCTTATATTATACTTTCATCTTTATTTTTGGTATTTGTCTTCTTTTGAGTGAGAAATTAGCTACTTTCTTATTTCAGGTCGACGAGATCAGGAAGACAAATTGATGAGAGGGTATAATTCGCTTCCAAATATGGAATCTGTCACCCAAACTTGGTACCTTCACTTAGAATTTCTTCTATTTTGAATACTTAACCAAATATTAACCTCAGATAGAGATACAACAAAATTATCCCAACTAGGTCTTGGATTCTTTCATTCATTGAGTGGTCATTTTGGATCCACAAAACCGATTATATATTAGTGTTAAGTTGATTGAACATTTCTCACTAACTTCAAATGAACATTTTACAATCACTTTTATACATACACTCACATAAGCTTAGCAAATAAAAACCAAAGTAAATATATGCGTCTTTCATTTTGACAATATATTGTTTATCTTTTTGAAAATGTAGTAACGGGCCATTATTGAGACTAGGGGAAAGCACACCGGCTAAAGCAGAGCAAGTGAGAAGATTTGTGGAAGATTCGTGGGAAGAAGACGACATTGACAACTCAAATCCTAAGAGTACGAGGAAAGAGGTCGTTGAGGTGATCCTTTATTTCGGTGTTATTGATATTCTTCAAGACTATGATATCACCAAAAAACTAGAGCATGCCTACAAGTCACTCCACGCAGATCCCGCGTCGATTTCAGCTGTTGATCCTAAGCTTTATTCCAGAAGATTTAGAGACTTTATAAACAAAATATTCATTGAAGACAAATGAGAATGAAAGTAACATGCAACTTAACACCTACACAAGTAAGAAGAAGAGTTTTATTGTACAAAATCTCAGGCATGCTTTGGCATTTAATTTTTGGGTTTTGAATATAAAACGTTTAAAACCTAGAGGCCCCTAACACGGTGAGATCACACGGCACCCCGCAATGTTGCTGGAATCCAGGATGTTGAAGAGGTTGCCGGCTGTTTTGAGATGAAAATTTGGGGTTTACTCATTTTTTAAAGAGGAAAAGAGTTTTGGTGCTTCCTCAAAGCTAGTATAGATATTAGGACAATGCTCTTGATTTATTGTTATATCGTGAGCCGAGCTGATAAAATCTACACGGACAAAGAGTAAATGTTTTTGCATTTTGTTTTCTGCCTGTGATTCATTACTCTTAATCTTTATCTATATCTATAGGCTTTTTGTAAATAGTTTCTTTCTGTAATATTGTTTTCTACTAGGATGATCCAAGCTAACGATCTATATATCTAGGTTTTTCATAAATAGTTGTTCTTTTTGTAATATGAAACATGAAAGTTATTGCTTCAAGACATCTAGCAACATGCAATCAACAAGAGGAAGTCCTCATACAAAAAAGTAAAGTTTGTCGACAGGCGGCTTACACACTAAATCAAATTATCTGGTGAATTTCAACAATCCGTCTCCTACATGTACTAATTTTAGCAAACGGCATGATCCATCAATAGTAAAATGTTATGGAGAGTGGAGCTAACTTGTGAAATGTGTCTACAACTCAAGTAGTAGATGATTTTGACGAGGGGATAAATCACACTAGGCTAGAGGAACACGAGTACGTAGCGTGGTATAACAAGTACAATCCAAATTGGAGGAGCCATCATTGTTAGAGAATTAGGCAGTTGGAACCACAAATTTTGTGCTGAAACTTTCGACAAAAAATGATAAAGAAAACATGTACTAAGATGAGTGACCTCCCGGGAAGTTCTCGTGTTGCATCCCTTTTTTTTTATTTTTATTTCTTTCGTATGACATAAAACGTTTGGAATGCCTTAACTTTAAGACCGTGAGGCCAAACTCGACATGTGATACCTTTTCGGAAAGCCCAAAGAGAGTCCTCCGATAGGGAAATGGGTCTTCGTAACATTGTTCCATTTTCGATACCAAATTTTGACGTTTAGGGGCTTTTCGGGCCTTTTGTGATCCATACTATATTACGGGACCGAAAATATTTGTTCGGACATTATTTACGCATATTTTTCATGTCTGGAAGCTCGTTAAGACTAGATGGTGAGGCCCACGTAGCAGATGGGACCCACAGTGAATGATTTCTAGAATCCGCAAAAAAGGATAAATCCGATTGCATTGCATGTACTAACGGATGTGATCCTATACGAATTCTTTGATACTCAAATGTGAATAATATCTACGTCTCACACAGGTTTTTCGACAATTATATTCACTACCAATCATCTCTGATGACATGATCTTTGAACCAATTCCCGTTTAAGGCTTTAATGAACCAAACCACACAAAATTTTCTTTTTCTGCCATCAAATCAAAATCTCCATATTTAGCAGATTGAGAGGCTGGTTTACACGGGATTGATGAAAGCCACAAGAGTACAAAAGTCACTTTTTTCCCTTGAAAATTTTTAAGTGCCGAAAATCATTTCGGCACCTAAGAATCTACAAGGCGACATTTGTACTTTTGTGTCTTTAGCAAGGTAATCATCACAAACATTATAATAATATAGAATAAAACAAATAAAAAATTTAGAAATTTGGATACAAAACCTAGAAAATTCATCTAATTCATTGGAGTTGGAGCATTTTAATTAGCTTTAAACAATCTGTCTTCAATAGCACTTTGGTCGTATGACGTGGTATGAGTGAGTTCATGGCCATATAAGCACCTCTAACTTAGTGTGAAGAGGAGAGCGACAACAAGTACTAAGAGGTTTGCACGTACTCTCTCTGCCGACTTCCAAATAATTAAATAGAATTAAAAAGAAGCTACACAAAGTTGTTATACGTTATAATCTTTTATTTTTTGATAAAGATGGACAATTGTTACACGTTATAATCTTGGATTCATTAGGGAACTGAAGAGTTTTATCATCCTCTTTACTATTTGTGTTTTTTTTGGCTTTATGGAAAGAAAATTTTCAAAGTCGCCCTTTTTTATAATTTTACTTCCTCCTCTAAAAAGTAGAGGTAAATCCCAAGGTCGAAAGAACTCACAATATAACCTTCGTATGTATTTTTAAAGAGTTTTTGTGATTATATACATTACATTTTTAAATTATAAGACTATATTTAGACTCCTCGTCGTGAGGGATTTGATTTGATATATTATTTATCATACTTTTGTAAACAGTGACGACATGTTTATTTTTTACTTCACGGGATTGACTTGTATTTTGTGAAGGTAGAATGTAAAGTTGCAAAATATGACGACTCGAAGAGTTTATTTTTTTCTGTTGAAAACTCTTTTTTTTTCTTCTAATTTTTAAATAAATCTTTTCTTTATATTTGTGAAATTCGGATCTCATTAAACTCTTTACCTTTTAATTTATGGGTTTTTAACGTAATTATATTTGTAGCTTAACAGTCAATCTCTCAAGTAGCCTCTGTTCTTTACTGTTGGTATTGGATTTGATTTCATTACCATTTCTTGTTGATGAAGAAACCTCTCGACCAAACAAATGAATGAATGGTGAAAGTGAGAATTAAATCCAGAGTGGAATGGATAAAAGAGCATTAGCATCATCCAAGCTCAAAACCCAAATTTTCTAAATTTATCTTACAGATAATTGTTAAACAATAAAAGCTGTAATTCTAAAAACTACAACACCAGAAATAAATAAATAAAATGTTGATAAAAATAACATATATAGAAAGAACAACTAATAGAACTGAAAATAAAAAAAAACTAAAAAGAAGTTATAACTTATAACGTATCTGTCGTTAAATCTGTTGAATCGTTCTTACAAAACACAATCGTTACAAAAGTCAATTGGGTTCCCACGAAACGGTGGGGCCCATCACGACCAGGTCTCTCTTTTTACATAATCTCATCTCTTCTTCTTATTGATTTTCATTTTTGTAAGAAAGTTTTTCATTTTGTAAGAAAATGTTTTTCAATGAAAGATTTGTCTGAAAATTTCAGGAGAAGATGGGAAAGAATTGGTTAACATGTGTCTCCGTGGCTTGTTTGTCTCCAGGGAAAGACAAAAAGAATCAAGTTGGTGTTTTGAATCTTTTCTTGAATTATTTGGTTATGACTTATGATGAAATCAAGATTGCTTATTCGTTGATTTTTTTGGTTTTGTTTTTGCCTTGTTTATCAAGAAACCCGAGAAACCGAAGAGGAAATGGTCGTTTGGGAAACAAAAGAGTAGAGAATCTTTTGATTTCCCTGTGGAGGAGACTCCAACGGTTGACCCTTCATCGTCTTCTGTTCATCGGCCATCTCCACCGCCTCCTCCGTTGCCGGATTTTGCTCCTCAGCCGTTGTTACCACCACCGTCTCCACCTCCTCCTCCTCCGGCATATACCAGCAATACAAGACTCTATGTTGACTCTAAAGAAGCAAAGAATAGGCAAGCTTTAGCTCTAGCATCGGCTGTTGCAGCCGAAGCAGCTGTGGTAGCTGCACATGCTGCCGCAGAGGTAGTGCGTCTCACGACCCCGTCCACACATCAGAGTGAGGAATCAAAGGAGGAAACTGCCGCAATCAAGATCCAAAATGCGTATAGATGTTACAAGGTATGCAAAAAAATCATTAATTCCTCTTATTATGAGGGACTTCATCTAATTCTTTCGGGTTTCATAGGCGAGACGCACTCTTCGTGCGCTGCGAGGAATGGCCAGACTCAAAAGTTTGCTTCAAGGAAAATACGTCAAAAGACAAATGAACGCGATGCTTAGCTCGATGCAAACTCTTACACGTTTACAAACACAGATTCAAGAAAGGAGGAATCGGTTATCTGAAGAGAACAAAACTCGTCACAGGCTGATCCAACAGAAGGGTCACCAGAAAGAAAACCATCAGAATTTGGTAAATCAATTTTTTTGAATGAATGTAAAATTTATTCAACCATAAAAACCTTTTATACAATATATGCAACCGTACAGAATTTTGAGTCATCCGATTGTTATGTGGTAAAATCTCCCTACATTTTACCACACTGTGTGAACCAAAATTCTAAAATTGAACATATTTTCTTGCAGGTTACCGCCGGAAATTTTGATTCCAGCAATAAATCAAAGGAACAGATCGTGGCAAGGTCCGTGAATCGAAAAGAAGCTTCTGTAAGACGAGAGAGGGCTTTGGCTTATGCTTACAGTCATCAGGTAAATTATAAACAATAACAACAATTTCATTGTGAACTGGTTCATATTCATATATATTGTTGTTTGAAAATGAAAACAGCAAACGTGGAGAAATTCTTCAAAACTTCCACACCAGACTTTGATGGACACAAACACAACAGACTGGGGTTGGAGTTGGCTTGAACGGTGGATGGCTTCTCGTCCGTGGGATCCTGAATCCATGGACGATCAAGTTTCGGTTAAAAACTCGCTTAAACGCGAAAACTCTATCAAGACTTCTCCTGCCAGATCTAAAACACTAAAGTCAGCTAGCCAAAGTTCTATCCAATGGCCTGTAAACAATGACGCAAAGAGTAAAAAGATTGAGGTTGTTAATCGCAGGCACAGTATCGGGGGTGGATCATCTGCAAGCGCTAAAGATGATGAAAGCGTTGGTAGCTCGTCTTCGCGCAGAAATTCCTTGGATAATACACAAACTGTGAAAGCCAAGGTTAGTGTGGAAACAACAAGCAACGTGAGTAATGTGCAACCTGTGAAACCCAAGGCTAGTGTGGGAACAAAAAGAAACTTGGATAACACGAAAGCTTTGAAATCCAAGTCTAGTGTGGGAACAACAGAAAATTTGGCTAACACGCAAGCTGTGAAATCTAAGGTTAATGTCGGAACAACAGGTTTGCCAAAGAAGGAGGTTGTGTCTGATAAGAAGAAACCTCCACAGATGGTATTACCAAAGAAGAGGCTTTCATCTTCTACTTCTCTTGGGAAAACGAAGAAATTGTCGGATTCGGATAAAGCAACAACTGGTGCTGCAAATGGAGAGAAGAAGAGAAGAAATGGTGGTAGCAGTTAACCTAAAGTAATAGCCTTATCTAGACCAAGATATTGCTTTGGTGGCGATTTGATAGATTTAGCATCTCAAATCTGAGATTTGTTTTCTATCAACTCAAATAGAAAAAAAAAAAAAAAAAAAAAAAACAAAGAGTGTATTTTGAAGACCTTATTTGATTGTTTTCTTTGGGTGAGTACAAATGATGTATGTCTGTTTCGGTTTGGTTTTTTATTTGGTGGATTATTTGTTTACATTTTTTTAATTAAAATCATTTATTTCGCGTTCATGTTTGAAAATAGTAGTTGAAAAATGCAATGGTTACAAAAATTAAACGAGTCTAAGTGGAGCTAGCTTGTTATTCAAGAATTTGAATTATAACCAAAAAATAAAAAAAGAAGAAAAAAGAGAACAAAATACAAGTGTATAAATTGGAGTTCATGTTGTGTGATCTTGAAGACGTTGTATCTTTGTTACACTTCTTTTCTTTTGTGTTAATCGGAACTCGAAATCCAAAAACCTTGTTAATCAATGGTCTTTATGAAAATCTCGGAAAAGATTAAATTTCAAATACATCTAGGAAACCTAACATAAAGAGCGGGAAATAATTTGAAATCATTCTTAAACTGAAATAAGTCTTTAACAGAAACTGTATTAAGAAACCCTTCCTAGGCACTCCACGCTTACCTCCAGCTCTACTCCTAATCATCACTTGCTACGATTTTTCGGAGGTGTGAGCAACAAGTTACTTATTGAAGATGATCCTTCTGCCCACATGATCTAGTAGAAGACCGAGAAGCATCTAGAGTTTTACATATAAAGGTATACAAAATGATATGTTGCATTCAACCCACCAAGCAAACAACAAAGCTGCATGTGAGTGCGCCTACTAGATCATCTCATTCTCTATTTTCTCATTCAATCTCACATAGTCTCATGCAGCTCAAACATCACACATCCTTAACACTATCAATCACATGCCACAATTAATCATATATCATCTAGCAATCTAGATCCCCATGACTCTAACATGAAACCGTAAGGATCTACAGATCCGTAGTCACATCATCACCTTATCGGTATCTGATCAAACGATTAGAACAACGGCTAGGGTTCCTCCTCTATAGCTCGAGATCGGTTCTCCTTTAGTACGGGCAGTGCCGACAAGGCTCCTCCTCTACTTCACGGCTGCGGGCAGCGGCAGCGAGGGGAAACGAAGTGGTGGCTACGGGCGGAAGAGAAAGAGAAGAATAATAAGGAAGAAGAAGAGAAGTGGCAGACGAGGGCTCGGGCCCGACGGGTAGCGGCTGCTCATGAGCGGCGGCCGTGGTGGAAGGCGGCAAGGGTGGCTTTAGGGTTCTTAAACCCTTTTCTTTCTCCACTCTCACTTATATAGGAGATGTGGAAGCTAGAGTTTCGGGTAAGAAGATGAGATTTCCCCTAAACCTTGGGTTTCCGGAAATGGGCCTTGAATCGGGATGTTACAATCTTGATTGTTAAACTTTGGATTGTGGCTCTCTATGAATATGTACACCTAAGATAGTTTATTTCTGGATTACGTTATGGTAGAGACATAGGATTTATCACAACCTTCGATATGAATTCGCAATCATTCTTCCTCTTTGTCTCTTTTTTTAGTCTTTCTTTGTTATGTTCTTGTGTGCTTTGATCGATGTTTCTCCGACTTTAATCATGAATTGTTTGTTTGCATATTACAAGTCTTTGCCATCAAATTGATCTTCATTGATGGTTTTCGGCTTTTCGCAACAAGTGGTATTAGAGCGCCAAGTTATAGGTGTGATGTAATTATTCGAATTGAGGTGGATAGCTTCTTAGGAAAAAGGGGATTTCTCCTTGTGAAAGGCGAAAATGCTTGCTCAATTTGTAATCCTAGGAGTGAAAAATATCTTGATACATGTCATTGCTTCAGGCTCGTCCAGCTGCAGTGAACGAAGAAGAATTGACTACTGAGGAAACTTGAAATCGGATGAAGAAAGTAAGAAGGTTAATATCAATCCGCTAAAATTTGGGGAATCGGAAAATAATTAAAAACATGATTTCTTGATTTTTTAATTTTCGGAAACAAAACCTGATTACTTATCTTATAACTTGGTGATCATATTTTAAAAAAGATTATTAAATTGGAACCGCAGCTTTAATGTGATCTATATTAAAAGTATATATGTCAAGATTATTATCCTATTGTATGTATATTTAAAATGGGATAGTCACGATCCATTGATGAAAACATTGATGATATTGAGGGATCAATGGTCTCTCAGATCCATGAGTTGCTAAAGTTTAGAAGTTCGAGTGTTGTTCATATCAAGCTAGTGAAAGAAGTATCTAAGGGAGAGATTTATTCAAAGAAAAAAGAAGTTAAAATGTGATGGTTAATGTGTAACAGCAGTAATATTTTGATGTCTAAAGCATGAAAGAACTACCTAAGAGCACCTCCAACGGTGACTCTACATGAGTTTCTTAAAAATCAAATAATAATAATTAATTAAAAAAGTAAGAGAGAGAAGAGGAAAAAAAAATGGTTCTGAGAAGAGAACTTTTAGAGTCTGTGTTGACTGTGCTGAGAACCCATATGAAATATGCCATTATGGAATTGGTCAGTTTTTATTTATAATTCAAATATAAATAAATAATTAAATTATACTTAAATGATTAATGTAATAGAGATAAGAAACTGAGAATGCCTTTTATCGTTGGAGGTGCTCTAAGCATCATATAACCTCTTGTAAAGATTGGTTATCAAGAAATAAATAATATTTTAATGCTACTAGGATGATCATATTATTGAAACACTTGGAATATTGTTTTTAAAAACATTTACAAACTAGATCATGACCAGTACTACAGTACGGGTTAAATTTTATTTAGTACAAAATTTGATATATTATATATTTTAGAATTAAGTTTTGATATATTATAGTAGTATGTGAAAAAAATATTAATTTTTTTGTCAGTCTCTCTATATAATATTATAATAAATATATTTTCTTTTTTATATAATACTCAATTATAGATAATTTTTCTTAAGATATGAAAATAGAAAGTAATATAATTTTTTTAAAAAAAAATAATATTGAATAGATAATTTAGGAAGTTCCTTTTTTTTAATTTGCAATTTTTTTTGTTTGAGCTAATTACAGAATTTAGCAATTATTCGCATAATAGAATATGTTATGAACATATTTTTGGTATATAATAATATTAAATTTAATTCGTGCATATGGAATCTATATAAAATTTAATATTGTTTGAACAATGAGTTAATTTATATTAGCAACCACAAAATAAGATTGCATATAATTCAGTTAGATCAAAAATCAAAATATCATAAGTGAGTTGCATCTAAAACGTAGATTATTTTGAGTTAATTAATGAAGTTAGCTATTATTTTGAATTAATTTAGGAAGTTTATTTTTCAATCTATAATTATTTGGTTGTTGAAATAATGATTTGTTCGAACTAATTATAGAATTTAGCAATTATTCGTATAATTCCATATGGAGAAATTGTTAAAAATGCCCCTTTTTCAATACCCCTTTTCAAAAATGCCCCCTTTGAGAGTCCATTTTTAAGTTTGGCCTCTTTTAATTTTTAATGACCATTTTACCCTTATTTGAAACAAAATTAGGTCCACAAAATACAAAATATTTTTTGGCGGGAAAAGTGATCCCGCAATTTTCCCGCCAAAACACTTGTAAAAACCTTTAAAATACCTTGTAAAATTTTCCCGTAAAACTTTTTCCCGCCAAAAAAATTTTTTGCGGGAAAAGTGATTCCGCAATTTTTTTGGCGGGAAAATGTTTGGCGGGAAAAATTTACAAGGTATTTTAAAGGTTTTACAGAGTATTTACAAGTGTTTTGTAAGGTTTTACAATGTATTTTAAAAGGTTTTACAAGGTACTTATAAGGTTTTATAAGGTATTTATAACTTGTAAAACCTTATAAAAAACTTGTAAAACCTTATAACTTGTAAAACCTTATAAAATAGCTTGTAAAATCTTATAATATCTTATAAATACCTTATAAATACGTTGTAAAACCTTTTAAAATACATTGTAAAACCTTATAAATACCCTGTAAAAAACCTTTAAAATACCTTGTAAATTTTTCCCGCCAAAAAAATTGCGGAATCACTTTTCCCGCAAAAAACAATTTTTGGCGGGAAAAAATTTTACGGAAAATTTTACAAGGTATTTTAAAGGTTTTACAAGTTTTTACAAGTGTTTTGGCGGGAAAAATTGCGGGATCACTTTTCCCGCCAAAAAATATTTTGTATTTTCTAGACCTAATTTTGTTATATTTCCTTATATATTTGTGATATCTTTTATTAAAAGAAGGGTAATTTAGTCATTTTATACATAAAAAGGGGTATTTTTAAAAATGGACAGCCAAAGGGGGCATTTTTGAAAAGGGGTATTGAAAAAGGGGCATTTTTGTGAGTCTCCCTTGAATATGTTATAAACATATTTTTTATATAATAATAGTAAATTCAATTCGCGCACACAATTCATCATTCGTTATTTTCAAAAATGCTTGCAAAATCAAATTTTCAAATATTTAGAAGTGTCAAACCTTATTTAACTCACGTCATCATATAGTTTTATCATGTCGTATCTTATGAGGATCAATAACTCTTTCTATCATATAATACATTACATTTAACCCGCTGTCTGCTATAAATATTTTAAATATATTTTAAAAAAATTAAATTAGAGTATTTATAATTTTATCTTTTTCATCTATTAAATATTTATGAAATTTGTTAAAATATTAAATTTAACTATTTTAAAATTTTCCAAATTAAGATATTTAAAAATAGAATTGTATGAAATTAAATATAAATATTTAAATAGTTACAATGATCATAACTCATTTCATCTTATAATATATTATATTTTACCCGTCGCCTATTATAAATATTTTAAATACATTTGTTTTAAAAAATCAAATTAAAGTATTTATAATTTTTAAATTTTTGATATATTAAGTATTGATGATATTCTTTAAAAAATCAAGTAAAACTATTTTTAATGTTATAAATTAAAATATTTAAAAATTTTATT